CCCGGGATAACCCACAATAAACCGGCTCCCGGCACACGCGTGTGGCTCTCGCTGATCCTGGGCCAGCCCGTGGCCGTGCTCATGTATGTGCACGATTACTACGTGCTGCACTGCACTAACCCGGGATAACCACCCGGGATAACCCGGGATAACCACCCGGGATAACCCGGGATAAACCTGGGACAACCCGGGATAACCCACAATAAACCGGCTCCCGGCACACGCGTGTGGCTCATGGACGTGCACGACTAGTACTGCTGAACTGGAATAAACCCGGCATGAACTGGGATAAACCCGGGATAAAACCAGGATAAACCGGGACAGAGCCGGGACACCCGTGGAACTCCTCCAAACCCCACCCAGGGAATCCCGGGACCCCAAATCCTCCCGGGACAGACCCGGGACAGCCCCGAACCTTCTTTGGGATCCCCAAATCCTCCCTGGGACTGACCCGGGACAAACCGGGACAGACCCGGGACAGCCCCGAACCCCCTCAGGATCCCCAAATCCCCCCCAGGACAGACCCGGGACAAACCGGGACAGACCCGGGACACCGACACCCCCACAAACACCCGGGACCGACCCCGGTACCGACACGGGACACCGACAGCCCCACCCCGACACGGGACACCGGTACCGGGTCCCGCCCCCGGTGCTGCCCCCGGTACTGCCCCCAACCCCCACGCCGATACCGACACGGGACAGCAGCACAGGACACCGGCACCCGGTACCGACACCCGGCACCGACACCCGGTACCCGATACCGACACCCGGTACCGACACCCGGTACCGGCACCTTCACCCGGTACCGGCACCTTCACCCGGTACCGGCACCTTCACCCGGTACCGGCACCTTCACCCGGTACCGACACCTTCACCCGGTACCGATACCCGGTACCGGCACCTTCACCCGGTACCGCCATCCCCACCCGGTACCGACACCTTCACCCGGTACCGACACCCGGTACGCGGTACCACCATCCCCACCCGGTACCGCCATCCCCACCCGGTACCGACACCCGGTACCGCCAACCCCACCTGGTACCGACACCCGGTACCGGCACCTTCACCCGGTACCGACACCCGGTACCGCCAACCCCACCTGGTACCGACACCCGGTACCGGCACCTTCACCCGGTACCGACACCCGGTACCGCCATCCCCACCCGGTACCGGCACCCGGTACCGGCATCCCCACCCGGTACCGGCACCTTCACCCGGTACCGACACCCGGTACCGCCATCCCCACCCGGTACCGCCATCCCCACCCGGTACCGACACCCGGTACCGCCATCCCCACCCGGTACCGACACCCGGTACCGCCAACCCCACCCGGTACCGACACCCGGTACCGGCACCTTCACCCGGTACTGACACCTTCACCCGGTACCGACACCCGGTACCCGGTACCGCCATCCCCACCCGGTACCGACACCCGGTACCACCATCCCCACCCGGTACCGACACCTTCACCCGGTACCGGCACCCGGTACCGGCAGCGCCGGGGCCCGGGAACGGGACTGCGGCACCGCCTGGGATGGGACCCCCAAATTTCCATATGGAAATCCCTAATCTGCATATGGAAATACAAAATTTGCATATGTAAATACAAAATCTGCATATGGAAACCCCAAATCTACACCGGGACAGAACCGGGAGAGATCCGGGACAGGACCGGGAGAGAACCGGGACAGAACCGGGACAGGACCGGGACAGAACCGGGACAGGACTGGGACAGAACCGGGAGAGAACCGGGAGAAGACCGGGACAGGACCGGGAGAGAACCGGGACAGGACCGGGAGAAGACCGGGACAGAACCGGGACAGAACCGGGACAGAACCGGGACCGCATTCCCGGTCCAGTCCCGGTGCGGTTCCGTTGTAGTCCCGGTTCTACCCCGGTGCTGCAGTCGGTCCCGGTTCTGTCCCGGTGCAGTCCCGGTGCAGTCCCGGTTCCAGTCCCACTGCGGTTCCGGTTCTAGCCCGGTGCTGCAGTCGGTCCCGGTTCTATCCCGGTTCCGTCCCGGTGCAGTCTCGGTTCCGGTCCCTCTGCGGTTCCGCTGCGGTCCCGGCGCAGTTCCGGTTCTGTCCCGGTTCCGGTCCCATTGCAGTCCCGTTGCAGTCCCGGTTCCGTCCCATTGCGGTTCCGTTTCTGACCCGGTCCTGTCCCGGCCCCGGCCCGGTTCTGTCCCGGTTCTGTCCCGGCCCGGTTCTGTCCCGGTCCTGTCCCGGTCCCAGCCCGGTTCGGTCCCGGTTCCGGTGCGGCGGGCCGGGATTGGCTGGCCCCGGCACCGGCCCCGCCGCCGCCCGCCCCTCCCCGCTAAAACGGCCCCGGTTCTGTCCCGGTTCTGTCCCGGTTCTGTCCCGGCCCCGGCCCGGTCCTGTCCCGGTCCTGTCCCGGTCCTGTCCCGGTTCGGTCCCGGTTCCGGTGCGGCGGGCCGGGATTGGCTGGCCCCGGCACCGGCCCCGGCACCGCCCCTCCCGCCCCCGCCGTTAAAACGGCCCCGGGCGGGCCCGGCCCGGCAAACATGGGCGGGCGGCGGTGAGCGGCGGCACCGGGACCGGGACACCGGGACACCGGGGACAGCGGGGATGGAGGGGATGGAGGGGATACCGGGGATGGAGGGGATGGAGGGGATACCGGGGATGGAGGGGACACCGGGGGGACAGCGGGGATACCGGGGACAGCGGGGATGGAGGGGACACCGGGACACCGGGGACACCGGGGATGGAGGGGATGGAGGGGATACCGGGGATGGAGGGGACAGCGGGATACCGGGACAGCGGGGACAGCGGGACACCGGGGATGGAGGGGATGGAGGGGGGACACCGGGGGGACACCGGGACACCGGGGACAGCGGGGGGACACCGGGGACAGCGGGAACAGCGGGACAGCGGGGATACCGGGAGGACAGCAGGGATGGAGGGGGGACACCGGGGATACCGGGGAAAGAGGGGACGGGGGCGGGACACCGGAGATACCGGGAGGACAGCGGGGACAGCGGGGGCACAGAGGGGGCACCGGAGATGGAGGGGGACCGGGGAGATACCGGGGGGACAGCGGGGACACCGGGACAGACAGGCGCGACACCGGGGACACCGGGGATAGAGGGGACGGGGGGGGACACCGGAGATACCGGGGGATGGAGGCGACAGCGGGGACAGCGGGGGGACACCGCGGATGGACGGGGGACACCGGGGACACGGCGGCGACACCGGGGATAGGGGACAGAGGAGGACCGGGGGGACACCGGAGGGACACCGGGGGGGACAGGGGGGACACCGAGGGGACACCGGGGGGATACCGGAGGGACACCGGGGGGACACCGAGGGGACATCGCGGACACCGGGAGGACAGGGGGGACACCGAGGGGACACCGGGGGGATACCGGAGGGACACCGGGGGGACACCGAGGGGACATCGCGGACACCGGGAGGACAGGGGGGACACCGGGGGGGACAGAGGGGACACCGGGGGGACACCGGGGGGATACCGGGGACACACCGGGACAGGCGGAGGTGGCAGCGGGGGGGTCCTGGCGGCTCTCGGGGTGTCCCGGGAGCCGCGCGGGGATTTTGGGGACCGGGGGGGCCTCAGGGTGGCACCGGGGGTGACAGTGGGGACAGTGGCACTGGGTGGCACCGGGGGTGACAGGGGCAGCGGGTGGCACTTGGGGACCCGGGTGGCACCGGGGAGGTGACAATGGTGACAATGGTGCCAGTGGTGACAATGGCACCGGGCTGTCCCCGGGGGGAGGTGACACCGATGACACGGGTGACAGTGTCCCTGTCCCCGGGGGGAGGTGACACTGGTGACACTGGTGACACCGGTGCCAGTGTCCCTGTCCCCGGGAGGTGCCACCGGTGCCACCGGTGACAATGGTGACAATGGTGTCCCTGTCCCCGGGAGGTGACATTGGTGACACCGGTGACAATAGTGACACTGTCCCTGTCCCCGGGAGGTGCCACCGGTGCCCTGTCCCCGGGGGGAGGTGACACTGATGACAATGGTGCCACCGGTGCCCTGTCCCCGGGGGGAGGTGACACCGGTGACAATGGTGACAATGGTGTCCCTGTCCCCGGGAGGTGCCACCGGTGCCACCGGTGCCCTGTCCCCGGGGGGAGGTGACACTGGTGCCACCGGTGCCACCGGTGCCAGCGGTGCCCTGTCCCCGCAGGCTCCCGGCTCTGGCCGCTGTCACCGTCCTGCTCCTCGTGGCCGCCGCGGCGAGCGATGGTGAGGGGGGGGCGGGGGGCGCCATTCTGGGGGTCCCGCGGTGCCACCCCCGGCGTCACCCGGTGCCACCCCCGGTGCCACCCCCCTGTCCCCGCAGGTCCCCCGGGTCGCCTGGAGGTGGCGCTGTCGGGGGAGGGGCAGAGCCCGGGTGAGGCCGGGGGGGATTTGGGGACCCCCCGAATTTGGGGGGGTCGGGGGGGGGGTTTGGGGACACCGTGGGGACATCGTGTCCCCCCCAGTGTCCCCCCAATGTCCCCAATGTCCCCCCAGTGTCCCCAATGTCCCCCCAGTGTCCCCAATGTCCCCAATGTCCCCCCAATGTCCCCCAATGTCCCCAATGTCCCCAATGTCCCCAATGTCCCCCCAATGTCCCCCC